AGAGACCAGAAGCACGTCGCAGGGGCGACCGTGGAGATCGCAGAAGATGGCAACGGAAGCAGAGTCTTTCCGGCATGAATGCACAATGCCATCTGACCAACACATTGTGCCCTTCCGACCCTGAATCATTCTCTCAAAATCACCCGGGATCCCTAACACGCTTACCACATGGCCATCGAGGTCGAGCCAACAGGCCCATCGCGATCGCGGCCCCCAGACCCCTCGCCAACGCCGCGCCAGGGCCACCCCACAATCGCCCAGGAACGGGCAGGGTGCCACCCGAGGGGCCCCGGATCGAGCCCAGGGAGATCCTCTTGCTGAGAGGACGCCGTAGCTCTGCGCGCCCCTGGACCCCGGCTCTCAGCCCAGCCTTCATCTCGGCCCCGAAAACCCTGATCAGCCCCTTGCTCAAATTCATCGGCACGGTCGCTTTGCAAAGCCTGGACGCGGCCGCGAAGATTCGGGAGAGAGCGGCATATACCAGCCAGGGCTGAACCTAAACGGTGTGTTTCGTTTTCGTGTTGTCTTCGTTTCCCTCGTGTTCTCTTCAATATCCGCCTGCAACGCAAAACGACACCGAAACGAAGCCGGCCCGCGGCATCGCCAAAACACCGTTTCGGCCCGCCCCTGATGCCAAGCATCGAGGCCCGCGAGTCGAGCGCGCAGAGGGTCGCATCGAACAGCGCGAGGGACGAGGGAGATCCCCTCGAGGCCCCGAGCCTGCACTCCCCGCAGTGCCGCAGCCACACGGCAAAGTAGGAAGGCACCAACTATACACCAACACCGGTCCTGGCCAGGATCACCCTGGGCCCAGGATCGGTGTATACGCCCTCCTGCCTTGGGCAAGAAGGCATATACACCGATCCTGGGCCCAAGGCGATCCTGGGCCAGGATCGGAGTTGGTGTATAGTTGGTGCCCTCCGACAAAGCCCCCCCAGCGACCCCTGGCGGCCCCCCAGCGTGTGCCCGGGCCTCCCGCGCGCACTCCCCCGCCGGAGCGAGCCGCTCGCCCCGTGGCGCCGGTCGGCCCCGGAGCTTCGAGCCAGAGCGCAGGCCCCGCATCGGGAGGAGCGGCGCGAGCCGGCCCAGGAGAGGCAAAAAACCCTTGGGCGAAGGATTGCAAAAAAAACTGTGGGTGAAGGATCGCAAAAAAAACCCTTCGTAGGATTGCAATCCTTGTTTTTTTTTGCAATCCTTGGGTTTTTTTGCAAGCCCTCGAGAGCTCCGACGGCCCATAGAGTCGGACTCGATGGGAGAGGGCACGCGAGAGGACACGAGACCCCTCCGAGAGCCACACTGCCGCAGGAATGCAGGAAGCATGGGTCGCGAGGCACAGGACACAGGGGTACCCTTGATTTGGCAGGGTCGACCTACTAATCTGGGCCGACTCTACGTACGCACGGCAGCAACCACTGGAATGCGGTCAAACACGTCCCCCATCAGATTCGCCCCCCAACGGCAGAGCGTGCGACAGAGAGGTCAGAGAGGGCAGCAATGGGACTAGCGAGGCAGAGACAGTCGAGACGGCCCACATGCAAAAAGGCCCCACTGTGAATTTCCCGACGAGTAGGGCCAGGCTGGCGTTGTTCAGCCCAGCGAGGAAATTCCTGAACGGATAGGTCACGCGCGCTCATGTCCCCAGGGCACCACGCAAAACCATTGCCGCATTGCCCCACATCTCCCACCAGAGCAAAGCTGAAGCCACCCCCAGTCAGAACTGCAGCCTTTCCCGCGTCTTCGAAAGCATCCTTGAAATACCGTAGGGAGAACGACAGAAGGCCCAAGTGAGCAGGCCAGAAATAAGGAATAAGGAATGGCAGGATCTATAACAGAGCGCCGAACGTCCGTGCAGAAAGAGCAAAGGGAGGCGGACAGGACGGTCAAAACTCCACCAGCAATCTCGAAGACACATCCAGAACCTAAGACTCGCTCCACGAAGGTCGCGGCGCAATGCGTCCACACCTCCAGAAACCCCATGATTTCCTTGCAGACAGAGTCCGTAGGCCCGACGAGAACGCCGAGGGCTTCTCGCACCGCCGCGATGCGCCCAGGGAAGAAGAGGCGACGGCAGCGAAGAGCCCCCGAGCGTTCCAAGAGGGAGCAGAGGGAGAGGCAGAAAGCAGAGGGGAGGAAGGGCGAGACATTTAAATTGGCGTGCCCCCGCCATCGCGAGAGGCACAGCTGGACTCACCCGGCTCCGAACCAGGGCACCTGATGGCAGGGGCGACGCCCTCTGCATCAACCACACCTTTAATAAAACTGGGCCCAAGGACAAAAAAGGACCAGAGCGACCTAGCCACTCTGGTTCATCCACACAAGGGACCCGAGGGAACCGTTTCAAACGTGTCCTTACAATTTCCGAACAAAAAGGCTCTAAGACCCAGCGCCCGGATGACTTCGTAACTCTAGAACCTGCGAACGACCTGGGAATTCTGCGGGCAGCAGGGGACTTGCAAGAACGGGACTGGGTCATCTCTCGCGCGCAGCACGAAGGCATCCCCACCAGTCCCGTTCGAGTTTGCTTGGAGGCCCTTCTTAAACGGGAAGTCTTCACGGGCAACATGACGGCACCTACCCAGCTTGAAGAGCAACACACGGTGCTGAGGCGAAAGACTGAGACGAACACGAAGCGATCACACGTCGGCAGGGCCCCGAATATTGGTCATCTGGTACGCTTCACTGAGCTTCCAGAAGGTATCGGGCAAGTCAGACGCTATGGCTCGGGATGGGGAGTCCAACATGATTCTTCTGGAGGTCGCAAGCACGGATGCGAATCAGCCTTAATGCTGTCTCTGTTGCACACTGCGAGATGATGTCCTGAACCACTCGTTCAAAGGTCTGTGCCACGAGACAATCCGCAAAGCCGAGAATGAGGAACATATGACCATCCTCGAGCGAAGCCAGGCTGTAACCTGGCGCGCCTGTCGAAGCATCCGAATGAGAACTTAATCGCAAGCCGATCGCCGAGGACAGAGTGGCACGCGGGAGGCTTAGCGGCAGCCATCTGTTGAGCGTGATTGACTGCACCCAACCAAGCCTGAACCGCACTCTGCTCTGCAAGGATGTCATCTAAACTGGAGCCCGAACTCTTGAAAGGCTGACCTTGGATGACGATCGTGGCATCAACACCCGAGATTTTTCATCGAGCATTCGTCCAGTCGCCTGAAGATGCTCGGCGACCATCTCCTTTCAGGGTCGCAAGGACGACGGCCATAGGAGAAAAAGGGGGGCACGAACTCGCGCACTGGATAAAACAGGGTGGATCAACAGCCACCTCTTGGCCACGGCTCTCGAGCCAGGCATGTGGCTGCGATCAAGCTCGAAGCCACAAGCCGCTGGCTCCGAACTTGGACCAAAATTGCTACGGATGACGATGGTGATGCTGATGGTGATTCGGATGATGATGCTGGTGACGATGCGAGTGATGATGAGTACGACTGTGATGGTGATGGTGATGGTGACACTGATGATGATCATGGTGGTGACGATGATAATGCTGATGATGATGCTGGCGATGATGATGCTTGTAATGGAGATGGTGGTGATGCTAATGGTCATGATGAGTAAGAATGGTGACTGTTATTGTGATGCTGATGGTGATGGTGGTGATGATAATGATGGTAGTAATGATGATGCTATTACTAATGATTCAAGTAATAATGGCAACAAAAATAACAGTAATTATACTAATACTATTAACAACAATAAGAATAATGAGAATAATGATGATGATGGTGGTGATGATGATGATAGTGGTGGTGGTGATGACAATAATGATAATTATGGTGATGGTGATGATGATGATGATGATGATGACGACGACGACGACGACGACGAGGAGGTGAAGGAGGAGGAGGAGGAGGAGGAGGAGTGATGCTCATGGTCATTCATACCCTCCTGGCGGCCTGGCGCGGTGCGCAGACGGACTCGGCTGGAACGGCCCCATGCTCCTCACGTCGCGCCGAGCTGCACCGTGGAGAAACACGGATGCGGCGATCGCACACGGCGGGCCCCTTACACCCTACCGCGAGATCACGGCGCGGACAGGGGCGAGGAGACGACCAGGAGGATAGAAGAACAAGAGGAAGAAGAAGAAGAAGAAGAAGGGGATACAATCACATAAGCAGAAACCGTCGAAGGTCAGCGCGGCTTTCTCGGAGGGAGCGGCACTGACCCCCCTCCGCGGCGTGCGGAGCGCTCGCGATGGAGACGCCGCCGAGCGCCGGGGCGGTCAAGCGCAGATCCAAGAAATCCGCGCGGACTTCAGGAAGCTCTTACCTGTGCCGCGTTACAGTATGGGGTTCGACCACAAGAAACCTTCCACAAGAAACCCAACCCTGAGACCCCAGGGCGTGCATTGATTTTTGGCGTGGGGGCGTCGCGAATTCCACTGCAGAGACATCGAAACCCAAGAAACCCAGGGCATGCTGGAGGCAAGCAGGGTGTTTCTTGGCATGGGTCTCCATTCGATTTCTTCGAGAGGACGAGCAAGTCCATCAACTCGGAGCTCCTGACGGCTGGGCGACCTCGGACCTGAGCCGACGCCGACGCCAAGGACGAGGAAACCGGAGGAGGAGGAGGAGGAGGAGGAGGAGGAGGAGGAGGAGGGGAAGGAAATCGAGGGGGGAGGGAGAGGAGGAGGAGGAGGAGGAGGAGGAGTGAGCAGACGTTGAGGTGATGAGGAGGAGGATGCGGAGGCGTAGGATGGCCGAGGAATTGGAATGCCAGGGAGGGGGGCGGGAGTAGTCGGCGCGGAGTGCGGGCGAGTGTGGAAGGGATGGTCGGAGGAGAGGTGGGTCTCCCCGCAAGCGGGGAGCAGGGGGGGGGGGGGGGGGGGGGGGGTTTGTGTGTTGGGGGGATGTTGGGGTGTGGGTTGGTGGGGGGGGGGGGAAGCGTGGGGGGGGACGAGAGATGGCCACGAAATACTCGTGCCCATGGGGGCGCCCCGAGCGCGGATCCCGTGGGCTTCGCTCTCGCGCTTGCGTCGATGCGCGGAGGGCTGCTGCTTCGGCTCGGCGCGGCGGGCCGCCTCCGCCCTGGCCGATGAGCGGGAACTGGAAGCTGGAGTGAGCACGGAGAAGGGAGGGCGCATGGAAGGCAGGGTGGGGGAGTGAGGGGAGGGTGGAGGAGGGATTGGCAGGAGGAAGGAGGGCGGGGAATGGAGGGTCGGAAAGGGACCAGAGGGGGGGAATTGGTGCCAGGGGGAATCGGGCGCTGGCGGACCAGCAGGGGCTGGATCTCCTGTCATCGCCCCAGGGAAGGGGGAGGGGGCCACCCCGACCCATGGGGCCCCGACGGCACTGAGAGACGGGAAGGAGAGCGGACGAGGGAACAGAGGGGAGGGGAGAGGGAGGCTTACCAGGCTCGATGTAGCCAGAAATGGTACCTGAACCCACCATTTGGGATGGGGCGACCATGAGAAAACTGCAGGAGGAGGGGGGGAGGGGAGAGGAGGTGAGGCGGGAGGGCTGGGAAATAGGGAGAGGAGAGGAGGAGAGAGGAGGGGGGAGGGGAGAGGAGGGGAAAGAGAAAAAGACGGCAGGGCTGGCGAAACAGGGAGATTCAAGAGGGGGTGGGGGGTCTGGCGCATCAGATCACGCAGCTAAGATTCCGGATGCCCCCCGGCGCTGGAGGCGCCGACGAGGCGAGGAATGCGCCTCGCGGCGGGGCCGAAGCCAGCTGCGAAGGAAGTGTTCCCTTTTCGCCCGACCCGAGGGGCGATCGGATCGACTCGGCCAAAGAAAAAAGATTGAGAATCTCAGCGCCGCAACGGCCTCCTCTTGGAGCCCGCTAACATGAATTAGATTACATCCCAGGGTCGACTGCATGATCACCCGGTCAGGCTGGCGCAAAGCTTCCGACGCCGTTCCCCCCCCCACGTCCTCCTCCTCCTCCTCCTCCTTCACCCTCCACCTCCACCCTCCGATTCCGCCATCTGCCTCCTCCTGAACCAAAGAGCCGCTGCAACATCAACGTTCACAAGAGCAACACTTGGACAAAGAGAACCGCGCCTCGTACACCAACGGGCCAAAATGCCCTGTCCTCCTCCTCCTCCTCCTCCTCCTCCTCCTCCTCCTCCTCCGCCCGCCCGCCCGCCCGCCCGCCCGCCCGCCGTCACCGCCCGCCCGCCCGCCCGCCCGCCCGCCCGCCCGCCCGCCTGCAGCCCTCCGCCTCCTGCTCCATCCTTCCCCGACTCCTCCCGTTGGGCGCACAGAGCTCGGCCCCCCGAGCGCTGGGCCTCTGGCTGGCAGCCGCGGCGGCGTATCCTCCCCCCGGGGCGCCGGGCAGGCTTTCGGAGGCTACAGTCAACCCGTGGAATAAGGATGTGCGATAAGGACGCAAGGGCCTTGGACGCCCATTTCGCAGCTTTTCGAGCGGGGCGCGGCCAACGAGAGCGGCCAAGGATGGGCCGAAGAGCAAGGATGGTACCCTTGGGAAGGTTGCCCATCTTACTATGCGGGTTGACTGTAGCCGCGCAGGCAGGGTAGCGGGGGGCAGGATGAGGCGGGCGGTGGGGGAGCACGAAGACACACGACGACGATAGCGACAGGGAGCGCAGAGAGAAGGCGCAAGAAGGAACGGGGAGGAGAACGAGGGGGAGAAGACAGACGGAGAAGGATCAGGATGCTGATGCTGGCGATGCAGAGGAGCAGGGGAGGCTGAGGAGAGGGAGGAGGGGGAGAGAGAGAGAGAGAGAGAGAGGGGGAGGAGGGATGGCGAAAGAAGATGAATGGGGGATAGTGGAGGAATAAGATCGGGAAGGATAGAGGAGTGAAGAGGGTGGAGGAAAGAAGAGGAGCAGGAGCAGAAATAGGAGACGGAGGGAGAGAGAGAGAGAGAGAGAGAGAGATAAACAAAAAAAAAAAGGAGGAAGAGGAGGAGGAGGAGGAGGGGGAGGAGGAGGAGGAGGAGGAGGAGGAGGAGGAGGAGGAGAAGCAGCAGCAGCAGCAGCAGGATGACGACGACGGCGGCGACGACAAGGGGAGGAGGGGGAGGGCGAGGTGGAGACGTCAGTCGAGGGACGAGTAGGAAGAAACAGGAGGGGGAAGAGGCGAAGGGGGCCGCATCGAGATGGATCCAGCCCCGTGGCCCCCCACGTTACGCAACCTGCGTCATGATACCGCGGTGTCGCTTGGATGGGCTCCCGTACTTTTCAGGGGGGGCAGCCTGGCCTGATGACAATGAGGCGCGTGCACCACCACCGCCACCACCTCTCGCTGGAGAGAGGACAACGGACTATCCCTGGCCCGGGAGTTGCCAAGGTGCCTCCAGGATTTCCGGGGAGGCCCAGATGGCCTCAGAGAGCTACCCTCACGAGACCCAGGGGACCCGAGCTCCAAACGGGCGCGAAAAGCTGGAGACACCCTGGGTCAGGACCACTTCTGGCAACACCCGAACTATGGAGATTTGCCTGCCTACGAAGAGGCAGGTCCAGAGAAAGAAGTATGCAAGCTGGGGCCAACGAGCGAGCGAAGGGCCGAGGAGAGCCACAGGAACATAATAAACATTACGCGACAACAATGACAACACAAATATCGAACAATTCAAAAACAACACGCGTGAACAATTGACTGCAACGCAAAGCACGACGGGCCCGATGTGGTGGGAGGGCGAGGAGGGAGATTCGAGAATCGATGCACCTCTGGGGCATCCTGGGACCTCTTCCACCACCGGGGGGCTCCAGGCACATCCTTGACAGCTCCAGGACAAGACCAAGACAACCTTCAGGCGGCCGAGATAGCCCCCAGAAGGCCACGACTCACCTGGATGGCCCTGAGACCCCCCACCACAAGCACCGCTTGGAACTCCATGAGCCATGAGGGTCAATACCCCCGAACAAATTCCAAAGAGGCCCCAGGAAACCTTCAAGATGAGGTACAACTCGATCCTCGCGCCTCGATACAGAATCCGCCTCCCTCCTGAACCCTCCTTCATCAGTTTCCTTCTCCTCCTCCTCCTCCTCCTCGTCTTCCTCATCATCATCCTACTCCTCATCCTCCTCCTCCACCTCCTCCTCCTCCTCATCATCATGATCATGATCATGATCATCATCATCATCATCATCATCATCAGCAGCAGCAGCAGCAGCAACATCATCATCATCATCATCAGCAGCAGCAGCAGCACCACCAGCATCAGCATCAGCATCATCATCAGCAGCATCATCATCAGTATCAGCATCATCATCACCATCATCATCATCATCATCATCATCAGCAGCAGCAGCAACATCATCATCATCATCATCATCATCATCATCATCATCATCATCATCATCATCATCATCACCATCAGCAGCAGCAGCAGCCTCAGCATCAGCATCATCATCGTCATCATCGTCATCATCATCATCAATCATCATCATCATCAATCATCATCACCATCAGCAGCAGCATCATCACCATCATCATCATCAGCATCATCATCATCATCATAATCATCTGGATCATCATCATCCTCATCCTCATAATCATCAGGACCACCATCAGCATCATCAGCATCACCATCAGCGACAGCAGCATCCGCATCATCGTCATCAGCATCATCAACATCATCAGCATCATCAGCATGAGCATCATCCTCATCAGCAGCATATGTATCATCATAATCAGCATCATCAGCATCATCAGCATCAGCATGTTCAGCATCGTCATCAGCATCATCATCAGCAGCAGCATCATGATGAGCATCATCCTCAGCAGCAGCATCAGCATCATGATCATCCTCATCATCAACAGCCGCATCATCATCATCATTATCATCGGCATCACCGTCATCATCATCATCATCCTCATCATCAGCATCATCATCCTCATCATCATCATCATCATCATCATCCGCATCCTCATCATCAGCATCGTCGTCATCATCATCATCAGCATCATCATCCTCATCATCATCATCATCCTCATCCTCATCCTCATCCTCCTCCTCCTCCTCCTCCTGCTCCTCCTCCTCCTCCATCTCCTCCTCCTCCCCCTCCCCCTCCCCCTCCCCTTTTC